TTATGTATATATATATATATATATATATATAACTAGACGAACCTTATGGTTGTAAGGCAGTGAAGCATCAGTGCCAACACTGATCTTGCTGTCTTTGATGATGATGATGATGATGATGATGATGAGCTATGGTTCTGAGACAACGATTGCCGAACACGTGAAAACGTCTCAGTTCCACTGCTCGAATAGGCCAAGTCTCACAGCCATACAGCAAAACAGCCTGCACTGTAGCTTGATGCACACGTCCCTTGAGATTCAGGGATACACCATTCTGTCTCAAATTAGGAAACACGACCCGAGCCTTGCAGCTTCGTGCATGGACCTCATCTGTCACACTACAATCAGAACTAATACAACTTCCAAGATGCGTGAAACTCTCCACAACTTCCAGTACCTCTCCCTAGATTGTAATTGGCATGTTCACACGTCCACAAGCATGACCCTACATTTTGTGCGTGCAAAGTGCATACCAAAGGACGGCTTTAGTCGGGTCGGTTCAACCAAAAACGTCTTCGCCTTCTCCTCCTCTTCGAAGATGAGAACTATGTCGTCTGCATATTCCAGATCGCCAAGGTTTTCTTCACAGGCTATTTGAACACCAGGATTTTGGAGACCCTGCAGGGTTCGTCTCATTAGTTCATCGATCACGAAGTTGAACAGGAATAGGGAGAGTCTGCCGGACACCACTTTCCGTACAGAAGCTTTAAGAGAGCTGTTCGTACACTCTCACACGCCCGGAAATCTGATAATACAAAGAACCTACTATGTTTATAATCGTCCGGGACATCCTTTGGTGGGCAAACGTGTCATGAAGAATAGACCGATCAACCGAGTCGAATGTGCCTTGGAAATCCAGGAACACTAGAATTGTGGGTCGCTTATACGTATGTCGTTGTTCTAGCACTTAACGGAGTGTAAAGATCCGGTCAACGCAACCCCTACCAGGCCGGAATCCCGCATACTGCTGTCCAGTCAGTGTCTCACGAGCCACCATAAGGTCATGAATCGCCAATGACACCAACAGTTTCGTTACAACCAAGATCCCCTGTGGTTACCACACTCACTACGCGCCCTTTTTTTAAAAAATGGACACTACCACCGACTCTTTCAGTCGTCTGGGACAGACTCCTTTTTCCGACTGCAAGCAAACAGCTCACACAAGCGTTGACTGAGGATTTCACCCCCATCTCTGAACAATGCGGGTGGGAAGTCTTCCGGACCAGAGGTTCAGTAGCGCTTGAGAGAACATATGCAGTCGTAAGACAACTCGGCTGATGGCACCACGCGACGGACGATGTGGCGTGAGTTTATTTGTATATGTGCAGTTGATGGTTTTACATGGGCTGGGGTACTGTCAGGGCGCCCACATCTTGACAAAAGAATGTTTAGGGTCCTCAACCAACGCCTTCGGCTCAAAAGCCTAACCGCAGGGCAGCGGTATTCGGCGGAAAACGCAAATGTATCACCATTTCTGCAGAACAAGTCGCCAACCTGGAGGACCAGGAGACTATGTTCGTCAGACCTCTAACCAATGACCAACCTGGTATGAGAGACTCTGTGAGTGTCGCGGGAACACCCTCCAGTATAGTTCACTGGGCCGCTGAGGTGTGCAAGCCGTCACACCACGGCAAGGTCCAGTCTCTTCGTGACGGGAACAACCCGATGGCTGAAACGCACTTTTTTATCAGAACATGTACAAAGGATCTCCTTCCTATTTACTATCCTTATATACAATCGGCTGGGTACATATCAGAAAACCAGAAAGTATGTGTTTATTTTCAGTCTGCGGATGTCCAACGGAAAGTGCTGTACCGCAAAGTGTCTCAGTTGGAGGGGAGCCCAAATCAAGCACTTTGAGATGATTCATCGCATGGGCAGGCTCGTGCAAAAAAAGCAGTTACCTTTAACTGTGTCCCATAGAAGACACTCGTGACCTACCAGTATACCTTCCTTCAACCTTGAAAGCTAAATAGCTCCTTTTATAGGAAAAACATTGGGAATAACCAAAACACTATCGGTGTTAATATATACAATCTGATGGGCATCTACAAACCGCCCAGTGCAACTGTCGAACGACCAGTCGAATAGGTATAGCTTCAAAAAATCTTTGAAGTACACATAATCCTAAACTGCTGACTTACCGAGCCGTGTAACCATGAGTAGGCCGCATTCGCGTGTTGTGCTCTGTCCGATTTGGATAGCCATTTTGGTGACTCGGGTAGAACCAAGATGAGCAGAAGTGTGATGAGCATCAGGATGGAGTTCAAAAGAGCTACCATCTCCCAAGGCAGCGCCAGACCAAACATATAGGCTATTGCAATACCCGACACAATCCCGATTTGAGTGAGGGCACCATATACATCGTTTAGATTGGTTGGAGCGATTTCTATCAGGTAAGCTGCAGTCGCTGGTATGATCATGCCGGCAGAAACGCCTGTCAAAACGCGACCCAAAATAAACGTTACCGTTGGGGAATACCGTTCATAGACCTTGCCGGCAGACAGTCGTAACCAGATCCAACCGATTATACCTGGGAAACACGCACCCAACATGGTAGCCCGACGGCCATATTTGGACAGGAAATACCCGGACAAGAGACTTCCGATAAGACCGCCGATATTCAGACAACTAGCAAATATCGCAGACCATTCGACGCTCAGAAATATTTGAAATGCAGCAGCTGATGAATACCCGAAAGCCAGTCCTTTAAAGGTAAAATGATAAAAAAAGATAAACCCTGAATAGGTTGACATATAAGGAGGTATGAATGAGTACGGAAGACCATAAATTGATTCACGGAAATGCGGAAATCATTGTCTGGTGAGATACCAGTAAACAATCGGCACCGCTCTAGACAGATATACTGCGCTCTTCAGACTGATCAATCTAACAACATTATCTTGGATTTTTCATTCACTTAAGGTGCGGGCGAGTTAAACATAGAAATGGAACAAATTTAACGTCACTTTACTGATACTCGACCTCATCTCTAGTGCATTGGCTTCTGAAATGCTTTAATCGTATACCCTGCCCACGTATTACCAAGATCATGCAGTCTCCCATTCATCCTATAATGGCAGAAAATGCTGACTTGCTGGAACTGCTTCTGTGCCACCGAACCCACAGTGGTTTCTGTTGTTACTAACTGCAAACTCCGGCTCGAGAAACTCGACAGGAAAAAACTCGCAACAGCTTGATTACAAACAAGAGATTATAATATAGCACGCATTGTCGTAATATTTCAAGCATACTTTCAACCTTGAACGAAGACTGTCCGGTCAGCGTTGGTGGATCAACTCCAGGATATGCCCGAACGGTCGAGCACCGTCAGCCGTCGCTGATTGAGTGCTTGAGCATCAACGTCCAACTGACAGTTGACCAAGAAACTAGGCGGTCATTATGAAGCAATTTCGGCAGTTTCCAGTGAGTTTCAGACAGTGTGAGGTTATTTTCAGAAATCTGACCCTCCTGACAGCTTCCACGAATCGTTCCCCAGTGCCACGTAGTTTAGGCATGTCTACATGACATGATGCTAGTGGATAGACCAAAGGATATGGATACAAAAAGCAGTGAGCCAGTCACTGTTCAGAAAGGAAATAACCGTTTTCTGTTTGACATTGCACTGCCGCACATCCGCAATGCTGTGGAGAACCATTCACAAATAAGTGAAGGTTGTCTGCACGGCAAAAAAAGATTTGGACTGGTGTTTTAGTGCTGCATGGACAACCATGTTGCGCTGAAAAAATGAAGCCAATCTGAGGGAATGTGAATACGAGGGTCGGCGTCTCAAACGCGGCAAGAAGCTTCGGGGTATACAGCGTAGAGCTGTATATGCCATCTTGGCATATGGCTGACGGCTGACACCGGATGCAAGGTCCGAATAGATTTAATCTCAGGAAAAAATAAAATCAGAGCCAAAAAGCTCTCCCGCTTAATGGAGTGAATGTGTTCTCTGTCGGTATTCAAACTTGAACCTCCTTTTAAGATAATATCGACATTTCACTGAGGTTTCGTTAGCTTTGGTATGTGTCCTGAATAGCAAACGAACTACTCATATTACTTAATGGGTAATTTTCTGTATCAGCGTGAAACCGTCCCAAATAACAGCCGCAGGAGGTACCAGGTTAGAAAGTGCGCCTACTATGAATAACTGCAGATGGCATCTTCGAACCACACTGGCAATGATAAAATGGACTGTGCTGCCACCGAATATCACAAAAAACTACACATATAAGGCGCAATGATAGTTGATTTCGGGGAGGTTCGTCATCATACTCGGTCATGTTTTGTCATCAGCTCAACCATCAAACCAATAATAAAGCAGGTTTCGACTTTACATGTTTCATGCGATTCTCCTAAAAATCCAAACATAGGAATGTGCGTCACCGAACAACGCAGCGGGTTCGGTGTGCAATGGAATTAGTATGTTGTAAGTGATAATGTTCCTGTGACGGAAATGTGAGAACTACTGAGTAACCCGGTGCTTCACCAAACAATGATAAAAGGGAGATCAATGCCGGAATAGATTTGGTCTTTGGAAAAGAAATGGTATTCCACCGTCCAGCGGAACCCAGCTTCTTGCCAATGACTAGACTAGTACCTGAGAAATACGCTTAAATAGGGAGAATCCATTGAGACCCAAACGTAGTTAACAGAATACTTCCCAAATAAACCAGCCGATCCAAACGGCATTCGCTTATCACACAAAGGAAGTGACTTCATAAAACCCTTCCCAATATGACTGCGACTAGACCCCACATTTGGCCGTGTTTGGTAAGACATTATATATTCATGTACATATACATGCAGCTGTACAGGCCGGTACCATAGTTGTGAGAAGACATGTGACCAAGGCTTCTGTCACTCAACACAAAGACTGAGATCACCCATCAAATGATTCATTAGCTACTGAACGAAGATAACGAAACTCAAGCACGCGAATCCGCACACAGGCTGTTGTGTTTAGCTTTCTTGAATAATTACATCTAGGCCCACATCTGTCTTCCATCCACACCGAACGAACGGAGTGCATTATCTGTCTGATCCCATATTGGTCAACATTTCAACAGTGCGGCTGGTCTTGGTATCCAATCCATCCAGTACGCCATCATAGCTTTGAAAATTCCGACACCTTGCCGAAGTTGACTATCTCAGACCATGTGATGCGGCAATTACCAGTAATAAAGCTATCATGTACCCATTATATGATCACATGATTCTTTAAATCAACATCTTAGCCTTTTTATGTTTCTACCGGGAGGTAACCCGAGTGAGTCACACCATTAACTAGGACACGAAATAATGGCAAAGTAATCAGTGTTCAGATAGTGTCAGAAATAACCCATTCGAAGATTCGTAGAACTGAGCAGTTTATCCATGCATGGATGTTTTTCGCCTTAACTACAGTTTAAATCAAGAAGTCACTGAACTAAATCAACAGGTCAGCCATGCAGCGAAGGCATTAGGTACGCTGGAATAGTGTGGTGCGCGTTAGTGATCGGGGCTAACCACCGGATGCATACGTCATTTATTCCAAGAGTCGAGTTAACAGTTGACATTCAACCTGGGTGAAAGTCAATGGTTAAAATTAGAGAGCCGAGAATCCTAGTGCACAATAGAAGAAACCGCTTGAAAGGTCGTACATGACGGCAACATTACGCTTATATTGGGACGAAAAAATTCAGGCTTACCTGCAATCGCAGCCACCCACGTAGTCAAACCAGCAGCAAAAATGAGGCGAAAGTTAGCACATCGGAACATTACGGAATCCAAATTCTATTGGTTGTGTTATTGAAATTGCGATATATCGGCCCAGCTGTCAGATAAAGCTAACCACGGTACCTGAAACAGAAAGAAAGTTTGGAACCTGGTGAAACAATAACCGAAAATCGCCAACTGAATTGGCTGATGAGCAGGACCAGTACACCATCAACCTCAGAGACAGCAACACCAGTGTTGACTCCGGTGCTCCATTGCCGAACAACCACAAAGTTTATTTAATTACACTTGAAAACCATAAAAAGAAGAGTGGAGGATCTGGCGCTAGTCTGTCACAACCAGCGCCTACACCATCAAGTGCTCAACCAACCTGGAGGGGAAACTGATAACACGAATGCCACTGACATCGATTAACCGTACACATGATAATAACCGAAAATCGCCAACTGAATTGGCTGATGAGCAGGACCAGTACACCATCAACCTCAGAGACAGCAACACCAGTGTTGACTCCGGTGCTCCATTGCCGAACAACCACAAAGTTTATTTAATTACACTTGAAAACCATAAAAAGAAGAGTGGAGGATCTGGCGCTAGTCTGTCACAACCAGCGCCTACACCATCAAGTGCTCAACCAACCTGGAGGGGAAACTGATAACACGAATGCCACTGACATCGATTAACCGTCAGTACACATGATAACTTCATTTCGCTTGGCTTGGCTGTGCGGCAACGATAAAACAGCATCTGGGCTGTCACATGCTGGAACCACACAGGCGGATATCTCAACCGCTTGTAACTTGTTGGAAGAACAACGGAATAAGCGGGATCACCGTTTTAAACAATCATAAAATCAACAGGAAATCCATGTTCAGGATGTCCCACGCAGTAACTAACTCGGTCTAATGATGCAATGTTAATTTTGAATTCTCAAGTATGACCTATGAAGCAACAGCAAGATTGGGGACCACTAGCAGTAGTCAAGGTCACTGAGGTGAGAAGCGCTCACCCGATAATTCCGTCCAGCGTCTCCAATGTAGCATCATCCTGGGCGAACGACCCAGCCGCATGAGCAAGTGAATAATGAGAACATTTATTGAGCTGTTTTGCATCCACAGAAAACGCGAGATCGCATATTAGTAGTTCTCACACGCTTCTGTCACTGGAACACAAGGAAGCATACCATATTGACCTAAGGTGGAGGATAAGAGTACATCCTCCGCTGGACTGCCCGCGTTTCACATCCGTAGAAAACAGTTATCCGATCAGTGTGGTAGACACGTCCTTTTGGAGGAGGCATTGTTTTAAGGGTTCAATAAAAGAGACCTGAGCATTGTGACTTCTGAACCGCGGACAAATGACGCCACTGTTGGCGAAAATTTCGCGAGGACAGATCATGACGGGAAAACGCAAAACGAATTTGGTTTCCATCACGCAGAACGTTATCGGGTTCTCACACCTTCCTAAGAGAAATTCAAATTTGCCTCAATCGAATGAGACTGTTAATTCCAGTAGCGAGTATACCATCAATCTCTAATCGGGTTGCTAGCAAACACCTGTTTGTCGTTATGTGTTGGGTGACGTACGTCAAGCACGACAGGTTAAACCTGCTGATGATGTCTTATGCGATGTTTATGTGTTTATTACAATGGTTTCAGGAAGCATCTTGCTATTGACTGCTCCCACTAAGGAATGTTTTTTGCACTAAGTCCTCCCATTTCTTTCCAAACCTCACTAGGGTGCATCTGCTCCAGAACTGTATGGCAGTTGAACACTGTTTCCTGCCACTGTTGCCGTTCGTTACTATTCTTATGCTGTTCAATTGCGATGTTTTTTTAACTCCGTATAAGCAGTGTTTGTATACCTGGTAGCTACAACGGGTTGATTTTCTAAATATCTAAAACAATCGAACGTCTTCAGAAAGATAGTGTTGGAAACTTGATAGACTCACCAAGACAACCCAGACACTTACAACTATCAACTCAATTCAATTTATCAACTATAAACCGTGTCCCATAGGCACATTGGTTCCAGCTGCTACAGTTTCGATCATCGGAAAACGGGAAAGTGGAATGTACAAACAATTTTTGGAGGCGAAGGCGCGTTCAGTTTGTTCGGAAATCGGGTGGCAGTGGAGGCAATAAATTTGATGCATGAGCACCACTGACTGCGCGATTGGGCCATTTGTGCCAATGTCAGTAACTGCTGGTGATTTGAGTCCCGGAGTACCCATCCGGGGGGAGAGGGCAGTTGCCAACCCGATTAAGCTTACTGGTTAGCGTTTTCACACCATGTTGCAAAGTCATACAATGTCCACCTCTCCGTCGCTTCCACTCAGCACAGGGCTGGGAAAAAATAGCTCTGTGAGGCAGACTGCCCTCTGGCATGCAGAGTAATGTCCCAACAAGCGCAGCCTATGAAACGCGAGTAATCCGTCTATCGCGAGAGTTCCTTCTTCTGAAGACCATTTGGTGTACCTCAGCATTACTAATGCGATGTTCCTGACTAATACTTCGGAGATACCGATGATCAAACACTGACATCTTCCGTATGTCCTCTGTGCGTAGGGGCCCGTCTCTGATCCATTAAGCAGTATGGATCGCACCACCAAAGTGTAAACTCACTCCTTGACAGTCGAACTCACGTCACGTCGGCGCCACAGGTGTCGGAGGTTGGCAAAAGCTGCCCTGGCCGTTCAATTCGAGAAATAATCTCATCTCCAGCCAGCCAACCGGAACTTATACAGCTGCCCAGGTAGACAAATTTATACACCACGTCGATTGGCTCACCTGCAAGCATGAGATGTGGGTTTGATCTCACCCAGTCTTGTAGCAGCACTTTACAGGCATGAAGCGCATAACAAACCATGGGAAGGATCTGAACCAAGGAGAGCAATATCGTCCGCATACTCAATGTCAGTGAGAGAACGTTCCGGGAGCACTTCGACTCCCCAGGTTTCAGAGGCAGGTAGAAAAATCTCAAGCGGCATATCAATAACAGAGTTGAAACAGGACAACTTTGTCTTACGCCATTGGACGTGATGAACTCAGACGAGAGCCTCCCGTATACTCGTACGCGCCCATGAGAGCTCGCATACAGTGTCTTCATAAGGTAGAGAAATTAGGAAGAGACACCTTTGGTCGCCAGACACTGCCAAAGTTGCTGACGATCCACAGAATCAAAAGCAGCTTTCAAATCCAGGAAAAAGACCAACGTGGGACATCTGAAGGAGTGGCGCTGCTCAAGGATTCGTTTCATGGCAAAGATATGGTCGATGCATCCTCGACCAGCGCGGAATCCAGCTTGATTCTCACGAATCTGTCTCTCCTGATAATCCATCAACCTGTGCAAAATAATGCCAGATAGCACCTTAGATGCAACGGACACCAGATGGCTCTTTTTTTTGGAAACTGGGATAACGGCCCATGAGCTCCGTTCGGCTGGTAAATAATAATAATAATAATAATAATAATCGTCCAGCTGTAGCACCCTCTCGGTGCCTAGGTGTCATGCCACCCGAAGGATGCACGAGGGCTGGGATACTGCCAGATTGCCCAAGCCTAGACAGGGGAAGTCAAGTGGCAGAGGTCGGGTTCGAATCAGGGACCTTCCGGTCAATTCGTTCGCGCTCTAATCACTTGGGCCATCTCGCCCCCGTTCGGCTGGTATTCTGTTTTCGCTCCAACTCTTCTACAGTATGGTTGTCAGACGGTTCACCAAGACCTCACCACCTCTTTGAAGAGTGCGGGATGTACAACATAGGCACCGAGTGCCTTGTCACGCTTCAGGATTGAAAGCACACGCAGGATTTCGGTTGCTGATGGTGGGTCGGTGTCAATGTTCCACTCTGGAGCGCTTGGTTCTTTCAGTGAAAGGGAAGGTGGACTGTTCTTGGAAGTGCTCAGCCCACTGTTCAAGAAGGCGATTGAGGGAGAATTGAACTGCTGTTCCGTCTTTTTCGCACATTGTCCCACTGATACCTGCCTTCTTGTGACCCGCTGATCGAATCAAATGAGAGGGTGCTGCTGCTGCCTGCATTGAAGGCCTTCTCCGTCTTGGTCTTCGAAATCCACTAGCGTTCCCTGTCATTCTTCAAGCTCCTGATTATCCTGTGCTTGAGGGAGCTGCGTGCGCCATCATAGTCGCTAGTTGCTGGTTATGGCCTTTCTGGCGGTAATAAGATCTGCTGATCTCGAAAATACCCAGTGTTCGTTGAGTCGAGTCAGATTGGTTGGATATCAGTATCATTAAAGACAGCAACGTCAGTGTTGACACTGATGATTCACTGCCATACGAATGACTGAACAAACAGTTCTGAAAACTGAGAGCATTGCTCCTTTAACTCGCCTCAATTCATCCTCCAAGTAATCTTCGTCGTTCACATGAATGCGTTTCCAGTAGCTTTCTAGCCATATCAGCTTGATATTCTCCAGCTACTGAAACTTGTCGAAGTTGATGAACGGAGCTTCGCGCTTCAAGTATAGTGCTGGTGGAAAGCGAAGCGCCAAGCGGGCACGCACGACGGCGTGGTTAGAGTCAAGTCGCGTACCCCAGAAGGAACGACAATCCTTAACTGAGGCTCTTCGTCAGTAACTTATAGCCACATGGTCCAACAGAGTCCACGGAAATTAAAGGCTGATACGTGGATCAAATCTTTTGAGGTAAGCATGTGATTATTTTGGTTTATTTTTCTGGGGGATGGTTGAGACACGAAACAGTGGCTAGGGGGTTGGCAAGTGGGTGGATCGCATTGCATTGTACGGTGGGTTGGGAGGCAATGAGTGGGGAAGGCCGGCGAGCGAAGAGCTGCAAGGGCAAATGATATTTCCCGGTTGCCCAGGCCGAAGAAGGGGGCTTAGTTAAGGTACCCGACCTTGTGTTTTAACTCAAAAGTCTGACCCACAAGCAGTGAGGGGGTACAGGATTCTGTTCTGGGACACTTCCCCTAGCCTATGACCCAAAAGTCTGGACCGCGAGACAGCGGTTGTCAGGGTTTTCTCGGGAGACCATTCCCGGAGGCAGTGACACAATAGTCTGACCTACTTGGCTGTAGGGAGCCGGCCTGGCCCGAGGACGCAAGGAGCAGGGCAAAGCTGTCTCACTCCTGATGCGGCTGCGTACAGCAGATGCCTTTTGAGCAGCACCTGGATCTTCGGCTTTAAAAGTAGTTCGGCCGTATTGAATAGTGCGCCAGTGACCATGGTCAACCGCTGGGCGATCGGAGTGTGCGGCTTTTGGGGTCGACCTTATTTAACCCGTCCTTCCTCGGTAGAAGGCAGCATCGCTTCTTCCATAAATATGGACATTCTCGTTGCCTAGGAGAAACACCTTAATACCTTCACACCCTCATCGCAGAGGACAGTAAGAATTCACCTACGGATCGCCTCATAATACGATTACTCGTAGTACGGATACTCAGTGTTCTTCGTTGGGCTGCTCCCCGTATGCCTTCCTGGCATGATTGAACCTTTAGGAGTTGAGTTCCAGTCAGTATAGCTCACAGGACAATGACAGCACGGAAGCTTGACCACCACGACAAAGTGATAGCTTGGGGTCTGACCACATACAACTAACAATACTCTCATGCCACATCGGCCGTCTTGTCGTGTCATCAGCCGGGTCGCACTACTCTCTGAATACAGTAGGACGGGTAGGCGAAAACAGGTTACGCTGACGCCTCCCGTCTTTCGCTTTCACACACCTTTTCTCCTCCCTCTCCCCATGGCAGTGAAGCATCGGTGTTGAACACTGATGTCATGCTGTCGATGATGATGATGATGATGACTCCATTATAAACTATTAACTACTTATGACTGATGACTCCGTTCGTCTTGCATCGGTTTTGAGTGCAACAACTCTCGTCACATGGCGCCGACATACTCAGATATCTCAAAATCAATCTTCAAGCCCCGACACCCAGACTATTTGGCCGCCTTCAATGTCCGCACCATGAAACAATCAGGACACAACAGACTTCTCTTGCTCTCATACTGGGCTTTCTTGGCATTGATGTGTGCTGCGTCTCAGAAAGAAGAATTCAAAATGCAAGCACAGTGGTTGGGCTAACCGCCCCTTCACTACCCACTCGCTTCCGGCTACGCACCTCTGATGATCCAGAGGCTGCTGCAGCTACTGATGACAGCGTGATCCTCACTGCGCCTGGTTGCAGACGCTGCAAGATATGGCTTCTGACCGACGTCAGTGGCGATCATGTTGTCAGTTTCTATCTAGATTGCCTGAAAGGGTGTGAAGGGGGAGGCACCTCGGGATGATTGTAGTAAGCTAGAACTAAGTTCTTTCCCCGTCCACCTTTATTTTTCTCTTTACAATAAGGCCTTCAAGTGAATCAGGGTTGTACGACAGTGAAGCATCGGTGTTTAACACTGATGTCGTGCTGTCAATTATGATGATGACTCAGCGAAACGAAGTTTCGCCCAGCCACCACCACTCCCCATCCTTCTCCTGGTGGAGTTAATAGAACAACATGAAACCCAACCGGACGCCCTGAGTCAAAGTAATCATACCTGGGCAATCCGCAGAGCCCACGGTGAACCCGGTATCATCACCATCTGGCACAGAGGCAAGAACTGGTGCTTCACTGCCATGGGCATGGTGGCCACCTAAGCCATCTTAAAGCAAGTCATGTATATTAAACTCCGCAGCATGCTGAAGCGAAGGTCACCCGTGAGACCGCACTCAATGGTGACCACACGTGGCCGTGATGCAACCCCGAAGCTGTGTTGTGGACACGTCCATTTATCAGCACTGGTGACAGTTCTACACTAGTAATGCATAAAACTACCCAACCGCCATACAAACACAAGGATATAATGCCCTCCAAAGCGTGGAAAGGGGTAGAAACTTAGTATCCCCAGTCAAAACGGTTTGTGCAGTCCTATGATACATTACGGAGGTCAGTAAGAACACCAAATTCTAATGAGCGACAAATAACATTAGGACATTAGGAATAATAATCAAGCGTATGTTTCAGGATGCAAGTGGCCCAACTTTCGCGTTGTTACAGGCTGTCTGACAGAAGAAATATTACCAATGGGAACGACTAGGAATATGAAAGCAGGGAATCAGACGTAAGCAAACCACTAGGCGCACAATTGAATCATCTGAATCAGGCTTCATGCCCTACAAGAAACAGTGGTCTTTAGTTAAGACTCTCCACCGTCAAACGATGGCCACATAATTTAGCCTGTGACACCTGCGTTTGATGGCGGTGCGCGTTTGTGAAAAAAGCTATTGCTCGCCAGAAATAGATATACTTTACCTTACAGGTGAGAACGTCATTGCCTATTACCTGTTCGATGGACGTCAACCGCAAATCTACTTGTTCCGAGTTTCCGAGGCCAATATGGGGCATTCGCATTACCACCGG